AGCAATCTTATGTATTAAGAACAAGTTTCATTTTTATCTTATCTGTTGAAGCAAATTTTTGTGAACAACATGGTACAGATGTTGAAAATCTGTTGAGCTAGAAAGAGCATGATTTCTTAAGAAATACTTTTTCTCTTCTCTATTTGTTTCTCTCTCTCCCTCTCTCTCTCTCTTTTTCTTCCCACAAACCGTTTCGAATAAAGGACAAATGTGTTATTATTTTTCAGATTGTATAGAACGATAACGAATTTATCGTCATCTTTACGAAGAAACTATCATTATCATTATTTTAATAATGGCTGTTATTCTTTCTTTCATATTTATAATGATGGCATCATTGACACCACTATGATGAGGAGAAAATGTGTTACAGAGAAGAAGAAGAAATAAAACTTAAATGTCTTTTATAAACGTTTTTGAACAACTTTAACATTGACTGTCAAATTTCTTTGATCTGATACGGTCGATATCTATAGACATCCCATTCAACAGAAAAACAACAACAAACTATTCATTCATACAATATTATTTTATAACCGTTTTTACGCTTATGATTAATAACCGTTACAAATGAAGTTCTACATAAAATTTGTATTTTGTAACTTACGATGTTGTACAATTAAAATTTTAACTAAAAACTTCAGATTTTTTTTCAGGGTAACTGCTAGTTTTAAGAACAAGTTTTATTTTCTTATTGGTTTATTAACCTTCATAGAGTAGATATTTTTAACGATTGAAGGTTATCCTGTTGAGTGTTTCTGTCTACTCTAAATATGGATATTTCTATTTATACATTTTATTAAATAAAATCGTATAATTCTTTACACATGATGGTTGGCTGCTGTTACTGATAATGTCTTTTCTTTTACTATCGATTAATTAATTGGATAGGACATTTTGTTTTTCTTTTAACACATTATTATTCTCGCTCTACACTTGCCATTTTCTTGTTTTTCCAGTAATTACTGTGTCTATGATAGAACAAATCTTCTATACTATATAAAATATGTATGTGTTTATTTGGAATTTGATTTTCTTACTAGTTATAATAATATTTATATTACAGAACGACGAATAAATATTGTATATGAACATATATAATCTATGTGTGATTAGAAGAAGAGAGAGACTACTACATATCATATCAAAATCTGGTTTTATTCAAAAAATAAAAATAAATTTACATCAGCAGGGATTAAATTCAATGATATTAAACTTAGTTTAAACTTAAGCAAAGTCACATTTTTTTTTTTCTTTTCGTTGTTTCACTAGTATCTCCGAGGACATTAGAACAATAAAAAGATGCAAAAAATGTTAAACGATGAATAAGTGTATGTTATCTTATCAACGAACAAATCGCAACTTGCAAAGTGCACATTGGATAATAATAATAATAATAATAATAATAATAATAGTAATTTTACAGGAAGATAACATCTTATATATTGAGCTTATATAAACTATTTAATACATCCTTATTATCTACAAATATTTTGGATGACTCGAGCCAATACGCATCATTACGAGATAAATGTAAATTATTCATATCTTTCTAGCCTTTCTATTAACAATTCAGTATCAATGAAAAATCGAACATTAACTATGTTATTTTCAAATTTCAAATGAGTAAAAAAGAAATTTAATATTTAATCCGAACAACGATACTATGCGTAAGGATCTTTGACGCTATATCAGACGTAAAAGAATTTTAATTCTTCTAAATTTCAACCTATTCATATGATTTAGTCGTCTAGTTCAATTTGTCACTGATATAGATACTAAGATTAAAGATAATATGTCACATCTGTTATTTACCATTATCTGAACTTCCCACTTGTTGACGATCAGTGTTTGATAGAAGACACTGCTCGAGTTTGTAGTCAATAATCGAAATTCTATATATTTTTCTGATCTTGTTAACAACGCTATTTTAAGTGACTAGAAACATTTTGATGAGACAATAATGATCATCATTCATTTTACACTTTTTCTACATTTGATAGGTACGTGTGAATATTAAAGACTTGAAATTCTATAACTATTATCATTTATTTATGAAATGAAAACATAATAAACTAAATCGGATAGACATATTTGATGTAATTATAAACGTGTGTGGTGTAGTATAGCTATGTGGTTATGATTATGAAACGGTTGAACTGACGTAATATTATTATTATTATTATTATTATATGTGAAAATTGGCTGAATAAGAGAAGACAGTTGGGTGTCTTGTCTCTCTCTCTCTCCTTCCATACCAATTCAAGTGGATGTTCAATTTTCTATGTCATTATGACTGAAAACATTCTATACTGTCTAAATGATATCCATATGATAGGAGGAGCAGTCATTCGAACTGAAAAAAAAATATACAAAATGAAATTGGAGATATTTTTTTTTTCTAAAAAAAGAAAGTTTCTCTACACAAACACACATGTTCTATTTACCGTCACAGAATTTACGCAATTGGAAAATGTCACACTCAGCATGTACTAATTATTCTTGTATGAACATAAATAATATTTACAGCTGGTTCACTCCCTCTCCCGTAATAGATCGAATTCACTAAAAATTACCTGTTGCAAATCACATCAAAACATTGAATATGAATGAAAGAAATTTGTGAAATATAATTACCAGAACAAAAACATTTACTCATTTAACGCTACTCACCTATGACTATTGACTTCAAAAAAAGAAAACAAAATCATGTTATTGCCTTATTGAGCAATATGAAATGCACAAGTGAAATGAGAGATATTACATTTTAAAAGAATAAATAAGTCAAAGAATAAAAATTGACGAAGTATATTTTTAGAATGAACAAGAGATCAAAAATAAAACAACGATGATCTCGATCTTTGTTTCAATGAAAGCCTCTTGATTCGACATCTTTCTTTTCCTGCTTTTTCAGCAATAACTGCTAAATATATTCAAAAACCTTTCCCGATCTTATTTGAAATAGGCCCTTTTCATATGTATAAACTATCTATAGTATCTGAAATATTGTTATTACTCTAAATTTATTCGTAACAATCGTTGTTACAACCTGATCGAACTCATTTTATTGTTTAATGTTTGATAAATATTGAATTAATGATGTTTTTAGAATGAAGAGTGGCTTCCGATTCTCGCAAAATAATAGAACTCCATTACTATTTCAAGCACAAAAATTTATTTCTTGTACATTGTGAGAGAAAAAAAATTAAATTTCAAAAATAAACTTCATTAGAAATATGAGCAATTCTATAGAAAAGTGTAATTTGTACGTTCGTCTTTCTTCTATACTTGAATCATCAGCATTCTAATTTCTAACTGAGGTATCCAAAGCAAGAGCATATACATTAGGTGTATAGACTCATCATCAAAATGTTTCCTTCATATTCCTTTTTTTTTCACTATTCTTTACATTGTTTTTTCTTTTCTGTTTTCTTCTATTTGATACAAACACAAACTTTTTTTTTCTAAACTTAATTTCTATTGGTCGATAACTAACATTTTCTCACAAACAGCACGTCGTCCAATCGTCACCATAGGGGTGTTATTTTCCACCAACGGTTGTCTAGATGGACGTTCTCAATGTTTTCTAATGAAGAGAGAAAGAGTGAAGAGAAGAAAATCTCGTACTAAATCTTTTACTACTAGTATGTAACTCGTTATTTTAACACTCGTTGATCAGCAGGCATTTTCTTTTATTCTTTACTTTGTAATACAGTTGGGTTCCTCCTTCTAACTTCATTTAACAAGATTGTTTTCTATCACACCTTTTTCTCATTGGGATCTCTATAAAATATATTAAAAGATTATTTACTGTTTTTTGTGCATATATGGCATTAATAAAGTATCATGTTTATTGACAACAAAAAGCAGAGAAGTATATTTTATATTTATTCTTTCGTTTTTTTTTCTTCTTCTTTGTCTCTCTTTTTTTTCTTGTTTTAATTTTTCTCTGTTTAGAATTTTGTTGTCACACTGAGAGGATACTGTGTTTGATACAACGAAAAAAGGTAGGTATACTGTTTTTTCTTTTTCTTGTTTTTTTCTAATATCAGAGCACAGCATAAATCCGTTGAAGACACAACCTTCACTCGGACTTCTCGGTGAGCAAAGAAGTATATCCCCTATTGGGAAATTGTTGACAAGCGAGTGCACAGTGACAGAGTAAGTGATATGTATGTACAATGAAAATATAGATATTAATAACTTTTTCTACACATACATGAATATATATATAAGTATACATTATTATATTAAAACAACTGTGACAAAGTTTATTTTCTTCTCTTATAATACTAGCTGTGTCATGCTAATTTTGATGTTCAAAAAATTGTTTAAAAAACACAGAAGCGATTTTCTTCTGTCACATTCCAGCAGTGACGCTTTAGAGAAAAATAACTAAATTGAGCTTAAAAATTTCATCATTGTAGTGTTTATAATTAAATTGTCACAAAAAATAGTTTAAGACGTTGTTTTCACATTTTGTTGTAGTTAATTAAATCATAATTGATATAAAGTAATTAATAGAAGCATCTCGATAATAACTATGATAAGCATTTTGCAATTTTCGATAAATCTCAAAATTGGTTTATCAAACGTTTTTCTATGAGTGTATGCTAACATATTGGCCTTTTCTTTCACTGGTATAATACTACTGGATTGATACTAGTAGTTGAGATCTATGAGAGCATGGAGAATATTAGTACAGAATATCAATGAGAAAAATGTAATTACACTAATGAATATATAACAGAAAAACATATCTAAACGAAATTTTTGACAAATGCCTATTTTTCCTTTTAAAACACCAAGTGAAGGAGAACAGCGATACTTTTCAGTGTCTAACAACAGTCATAAATTGACACTCTGTATTTCCATAGTTCTCTTGAAAAGTCGATGAATCCAAAATCGCACAGATTTTGTTTACCTTTTAAACTAAATCATCAAATATTCTCATTCTTTAGATTTTTGCACATATTTGAATATCAAATCGATCATTGGGCATGTTTGATCCACATTTAACAAATAGTAGTTTAAATCAATTTGATCCAAACGCGTATAATCCTTATACAACCAATTCTTATTCTTCGTCACGTGATCTCCAATATTTAAGAAATCGTCCTGGTGACATATCATTCAGTGATAATAATTCAGCGTTACTACGATCATCGGGAACAGATGATTTACTTCTTCGCCGTGCTGGTGTCACTGGTGGTAGTTCAGTCACAGATTTTTGTACGTCATCGTCGTATAATCATGCACTATTACCAAATGGTGGAAATTTTTCACCACAAGATTCCATGAACACCTATTTTTCCGACGCACAACGTTATAATTCATCAGCTGTAGATGCAACAACCTATGAACAGTACATACAATATCCATATGCTTATCCAACATCTCGTGGATTCTTACCATATTTTCCATACGGTAGACATCAATCAAAACAAGAATATACATGTAAATGGATTGATTCTGATACAAGAAAAATATGCAATAGATTATTTTATTCAATGCAAGACATTGGTAAGCATATTGAAAACGTTTAGTTTTGTGTATCGCTGAATTCTGAGAGAGTCAAATGAGAATATCTCAACGAACGATTAATATATTGAATTTAGTTGAAATAGTCATCGAAATGGAAGTATTTCATTTACAAAGAGACGTTAGGTGTATTGGATTGAAATTATGAGATACGGTTGATTCCCTACCTTTCATTCTAAAGTCATGTATGTGTACTAAGAGCGGATCAATTCAAATTCAAATTATTTGAAGTTTATAAAACATATTATTCTTTATGATAGAAAGAAATTTTTCTATTTGCTATGTGTTCTTTCTTTTCATAGTTATATTATTTAACTACATATACACATACACATAGATGAGACATCGGAAATGAATATCCCGTAGTGCGACTAGAAAAGAAACTCTATATTGATGGTATGCATAGTTTGATCGAAATAAGGTTAAACAGATGACAAAATTAGAAATTATAAATGATTGGAATGTCTATGCCATACAACATGCGTATAAATGATGCTTATTATACATCGAAAAAATAAAAAATAACATCCTATTCTATAGTAATTTGAAGATGTAATTATAACTAAGAAACATACTCAGATTATTTTTTTTTCTTCTAGTAACTCATTTAACAGTAGAACATGTTGGTGGGCCAGAGCAAACAACGCATACATGTTCATGGGAAGGATGTGTACGTGAAGGTAGACCATTTAAAGCAAAATATAAATTGGTCAATCATATTCGAGTACATACCGGAGAAAAACCATTTCCATGCCCATTTACTAATTGTGGAAAAGTATTTGCAAGATCAGAAAATTTAAAAATTCATAAACGAACACATACTGGTAAGTAAAAACAAAAAGATAACTCACAAAATTATACAGTAAAATATCTGTCATTTACAGGAGAAAAACCATTTAAATGTCAAAATTGTGAACGGTCATTTGCTAATTCCAGTGATCGAAAAAAACATATGCACGTACATACGTCCGATAAACCGTATAATTGTAAAGTTAAAGGGTGTGACAAAACGTATACTCATCCATCATCTCTTCGAAAGCATATGAAACAGCATGAAGCAATGGACAACAATCCCACGACAACCAGTAGTGTCATACAAAGACGTTCAAATGAATCCTGTTCGAATCATCAGAGGCGACCAAGTCCATTACCAGATGCTGGATTTAGAGGAGCAAGATCTCACCATAACGGATCCAACGTGACAACATCATCTTCGACAACAACAGATTCATCTAATTCCCCACCATCGTTCGAAAATGTTTCCCCACATAAAGAACAACATCACCAACCCGTTCCATTACCATCTGATTGGTCTCTTAGTAGTCTGTTACCTTCCTCTTATTATCATCATCACTATCATCAACCAGCAAACATTTTGTTACAACAACATCATCAACACCGACTACTGCAGC